GCAGCAGGGCTGGGATCATTCCCAGCGCAGCAGGGCTGGGATCATTCCCAGCGCAGCAGGGCTGGGATCATTCCCAGCGCAGCAGGGCTGGGATCATTCCCAGCGCAGCAGGGCTGGGATCAGAGGGATGTGGAACAGGGGCAGCTCCCTGAGCTGGTTCTGGGAGCCTCTTTACCCAGGAGCTGTGAGGATTGGAAGGCTCAGGGCAGTTCCAGGATCCCACAGGGACCATTTCTGGCTCAGGCACACTTGGGTTGCTCAGAGGGCAGCACTGGACTGTTCTGAACAGCTTTAACAGCTCCTAAAACTTGGATATTTGTGCCATTTCCATCCCCCTCACCCGTACTAAACACCCCCATCAGTTATTTGGGGAACAACTCCCTGCCCAAATCCCACTCCAGTTGCCAAAATGGTGGCAGTGCTTTATAAAGTAACTCATGAGCCCACCATCAGGTGGTATTTAATTTTTAAATATTTGAAATATTTCCCACTGTGGCCCAGTCCTCCCTGCTCAGCATTCCCCAGCCTGGGGGTGTCTGTGGGCCACTGATGACCCCACTGTGTACCAAAAAGAGGTTTGGGGTTTTGTACCAAAAAGGAAACCTGCAAAAATCTCAAGGTCAGATTCCAGCCCCTTCCATCCTAATTCCTCATTCCTGGCTCACTGCTTGCCCCTGCAATCCATCCCAGATGGAGTTACCCCTGGCCAGCTGGGACAGGGACATGGGATGGGCCAAGAGTTCAACTCCATTCCAAAAAATAAATAATAATCCCAAAACAATCCATAGAAACCAACCTGTCCTCCCCTATATCTGCATCCAGACTGCATCTGCACCCACACTGCATAAATATTCACTTCTGAACAAAAACCCTTGCTTGGTTTGTTCTGTTATGACAATTTGTCGCTACCTATAGATCAGCTATTCATTTGCATATGAAAAATATCATCATTAATCACTATTTTTATTCTGGGTTGGACAGCAGCACACACAACTCCCTCAAACAAGATTCAGAACTTAATTATCATAAGTGATGTTGAAAATACCTTTCCCATATCTCAGTTAACCCCATCTGCATCACAGCCAGAAGAACTGGAGCAGGAATTCCCATTTATTATTCCCAATAAATGTAAAAGCTGAAGTGTGCAGTTATTTATTCCATCTTGGATTGATGATTCTCCAGGATGGGTCCATTTGAAGCTCTGTCAGCTCTGTGAGTGAGCAGAGCAACGTCCACAGGATCCCATTTCCAGGGATGTCTTTTCCCAAATCCTTGGATCCTACAAGAGCTGAAGCAGCACAGCCATGAGCTCTCCTCCTACCATGGACCGAGCCTCAAAATTCCACATTCCTTCCAAAAGGTGGACATGATTCTGCTGCCTTAAAAATCCCGTGATGCTCTAATGGAAAATTTCATGAATTCCAAGGCAGAAAACTTGAGGAGCTGAGCTGAACCAGGGGAGCTTTCACTCCACAGCACAAACGCCACCCCCTCCTTTTTTCTTTTTCATTTTCTGATGAAATAGAAAACAAACCCACTTGAACATTTGCCAAAGGAGAAGAGACGGGGAAGCTTTAATCAGCCTTAATAAGGGACTCTGAGCTAAAAAACACATGGAAAGGAGGAGGTTTCAAAGGCTTTTTGTGGTTTGGTTCCATTTCCTTGGAGCAGGGAGAGGGGTGAAGATCCCTGCCCGGAGAGACCGGGAATGTTCTGAGTGCTCAGCTGAGCCTGCTCCAGCTGGCAGAGCTCCCTCCCACCCCAACAAGGGTTACCTACAGAAATTATCCATCCTGGGAAGGGCCGTGGGGTCTGTGGGTTCTCTTCCAGGAAAATGGGTCTGCACAGGGCTGATTTTGAGTTGTCATTATTTTATATATGAATGTGCTTATTTATTTATGTACATTATCTAATAATTTTTATTTTTTATATATATCCACAAATATTATGTATATATTCTATGCATTTTTATAGTCTATGTATCTTATATATTTATATTTTTATATATTTCTATTTTTATATATTTCTATTTTTATATATTTCTATTTTTATATATTTCTATTTTTACCTATTTCTATTTTTACCTATTTCTATTTTTACCTATTTCTATTTTTACCTATTTTTACATATTTTACCTATTTTTACATATTTTACCTATTTTTACATATTTTACCTATTTTTACATATTTTTATATATTATGTTCTATATGTTTGGGAATACCTGTGCCTCATCAATGCTTTTTAACTCCTCATGAATGTTTTTTTAGGTGTCAGGAAAATCCACCATCGCCAGGGGTTTATTCCACAAAGGAGACAGAGGAGTCCTTCAGCTTGACTCGAATAAAGGGAGAGAATTCACGGGGCTCACGCCCGGGGGATTTTCTGTCTCTCGGGGTTTTGGAGGGTGCAGCCTCCCTTTTATCCCAAATCCCACCCCACGTTGGGCTCTTCCTTTCCCCACCGGTGCCAGGGAGCTGCAGCCTTCCCGAATCCCATTCCCCCTGAAGCTGCTGGTTTTACCCCAAAGCTGAGAAGTTCAGGCTCGTGCAGACCCCGCCTGTTTCACACCCAGGCTGGGCCCGCTGAGGAACCTGCTGCTCAAATTTAACAGGGACATCAGGAGATGTTTACACCCATCAAATTGTTTGTGAGGACACCAGCCCACATCTTCCCTCTCAGTGGGATCAGTGGTATGAGGCACATGAACCTAAACCCCAGGATTAACCACCCCCAGCTCAGGGAGGGGTTTTAGGGCAGTGAGAATATGTTTTTCCCCATCCTCCTGACCGCGGGAGCGCCGCACTCTGTTAGCATTCAGCTCCAGTGGATGGTTTGGTGATAAGGCCTGCTTGGAGTCAATTTATCCGGGCTGCGTTCACTTCCCTTTTAATTTGGCCTCATTCTCCAAGGATGAAACAGATCCACAGCTCAGGAATCGGCCGCTGACAGAACAGCCCCTGTGCAGCTTTGTTCCAAGGGCTGCAGAACTCACACCTTGGGTTTTTCTTTCCCCCCTCTCCCCACGGCTGGTAAATGATGAATAAATTAGCAATTTGCGTGTAATGGCTGGAGCAGCTTCATTAATACCCTGTCAGGGTGTGCCTGGTACAACTTCTGACATTGAGGCTCTAATGTCCTGTGAATTATTGATGAAAGTGCTCGAGTCCAAGTTCTTATCTCCAGCTCTTCATGTGCTAAGTGTTTAATTGTCAACAATTCATGACCACTGCCTTCGGCTGGTGCATGAAAACCCGAGTGCAGCAAACCCCTCTGGATTCCTGGGGGGGTTTGTGCCCTGTGGTGTGTACTAGCTTGAAAGCAAACCAGTAGGAGATCCCAAGTCAGAACTACAAT